AAAAAAAAAAAAAAGAAAAAGAAAGAAAAAGGAAAAAGAAAACGCTTCGACACGCGCCGGCGAACATGAATTAGTTTTTTCCTGGTTTATCCTCCAATTAAATTTTCACCTCCGATGTTGATCGTGTATTAAACTTATTAGTGGCGAAACTCTTGCACTCGCAGAGATTCAAAATAACGTGAAATTCTTAAAGGTCTTCGTCTAACCACCAGAGCTTTACAAACTGTGGCTTATTTAAAGCATGGATTCTCTGTGTAATAAAGAAATGCATCTTTCTCCCTTTCTCTTTACTTTTCTCTCTCTCTCTCTCTCTCTCTCTCTCTCTCTCTCTCTTGTATTTTTTCCATTCATTGCAGCATCAAGACATGAATGTAATGAAAGTAAAGTATCTTTATTTCTAGACTGCAAGATTTTTATGCATTCGGGGCAAAATTTACGTCTATTTTATATTCTCCGTGACGAAAAGATTCCGAAGCCAAATAATTCAACTCTAAATTACCATGGGATGGATACCAGTCAAGAGTGAAGATTAATAAAGATATCCAAAGCAGAGTAGCTGTAAAATTTAGATCCTTGTACATCTAGATCTAGATTCTGCGTCTTTAACCGCCTTCGTAAAAATAGAAATTTGCATAAATATTCACGGCCCGGTGGTTATTCCTATAATGTACTTCCTCTGGTAAACTAAAATACCAGGTGGAATGGAACGGAGCGAGATATTTTTAGCAATTCGTCGTAAATGCAGCGTGTTGACGTTATCAAGGAGATTGCATCGAGCACGAGAGTGCGCGTGGATGTTTAATCCGTTCGTGTCAGGAAATTCAAGGTAAAGTGACTTCACAGTAGCTTCTACTTTTGCAGCACCGGGCGAAACCAATTATCCTTCTGCATTCGAGCTTTGAGCCACCGGCCGGGCCTCTCGAATCACCGTGTCAATCATTCGCCAATTAATCCGGGGAAATTATTGCTTGGATTGATTCACGTGCCTAACGCACCTGACAACCGGATCAAGTATGCAAAGTGCACTTACGTCTGACTTCGAGTAGATCGGAGACTGACTCCATTGATTTCTCGAAACGGCGACATGCACTCTTGCTAGCACGTACCAATTTCGCGGAATATCTGCACGTGAGCTGACGTATAGATTTTTCCAATATTTTCTACGCTTTCGTTCGTAGGTGGAAACTCTGCGCGCACCAGCTTCATCTCGAATATTTCACAAATATTTACGATAAATATTACATTGCATCGATTAATATTGTACCGTGTTATTAATCGTCCAACTAACTTGTCCAACGCGAAGCTTCGAAATCAATGCTCGAGAGAATTCGAACGACGAAGCAAATGTTATTTGTCAGCGACCATTTAAAGCTTGGAGTTAAATTCAATGAACTAGAATCAGCTAGTTCTAAAAATTCAAGTGTAATGGGAAAAGTTCTCAATAATTTAAACTCTTTTTTTTTAACGAAAACTTATTCAAATTAGTAAGAATACATTCTGACGAATCTAACAAAAATTATAAATTGATCATTTTGACTATATTTAGGCGTTTCTAAATAAGCAGGTTATTTCTGAGCTTCTAAAAAGGATTATTTCCGCGTCTTCATTTCTCTAAATTTTTCATGCTTAAAATAGAAGGAATTTCTCACAAAGATAGCTGACTACCTACCAAACTAGTTCCCCGAATAGCCACATAAAAATAACTATTAATCTTCTCTCGCTGGATACGGTTCAATTGTGCCGGTTTGACAAAGCAGCGTCCTATTCCACTCGTCGCGTCAGACGCGCCTCTATTCTACTTGTCCGATCAAATGCTTTCCAATTCTGTGCTGCTGGCCGTGCGCTCTTCCACGCTATCGCCTTACGTTATTTCCATTACACTGGACGCAATTCAATCCGATCGTTTCAAATTAATCCTGTTTTTCGAAAGCATCGATTATAATATCGCGGGACGAGATTACTCTAGTTGGTTTACAACAACTCGGCCCGACTAATTACAGAATCCATGTTTATTCAATTCGCGTCGGCATACTACAATACAACGGAACAAAGCCTGTTGTACGCTATTAATAAACGTTCGCCGCGTAACTGTTAACCGCCATTAGAATAACCGAAATTAGAGGGAACGGTTTTCACTGCCGCGGCCGGTTATTTTCATGTAAATTTATTAAAAAGACACCGCTTGCTGAAATGCCGCGGCGCCGAGATATTCCGCGGCAAATTAGATTACCATTTCGCTCGTCAATTCCCCCCTCTCCCCCCTTATTTCTAGGGGGTCCGCGCGGTTGCGTTATCCGAAGAATTAATAAAGCCTAGATAGAGGAGGAGAGCAGAGTGAAAAGGATGAGGGAGAGGACAGAGATGGACGAAACGACACTCGATCGGGACGAAGACGGAGCACGGACAAGTACCACTCTCGATCCCGTATTTACATAAAATAATCTATAGCGCGCAGGACGTGGCGAGAAAATTACACGGTGCCTTCGGTGAACTCGAGTCCGAGCCCGAACAGTCCGTCGAGTGGAAGTATTTATTATAGAAAATCGATTCCCGAACTCGGCAAACGTCGAGCGTTAAGCGAAATTTAAACGCTAAAGAACAATAAGTGTCTTCTTGCGGAATTCTGTTCTGCAGCCGGATCACGTTTCGATTGAATTATTTAATACCGAATAAACGGAGGATACGCTCTGCTTCTTCTTTCTCTTTTTCTTCTTTTTTCTTTTCTTTTTTTTTTTTTTTTTTGTTCCCTTTCGAGAGGAAAAATACAACGTGCAAGTAGAGCGTGACAAGCGATTGGAGGGAAGCGTGGGATAATTGAGAGACACGGAATATTCCGTTTTTAAACCGCGTGATTTAAAAGGTATTGTATCAATATTTTTCGAAATTTCAGGCGAAAGAAATGTACACGCCCCCGCCCCTTGCTTCGCGCATTTACTTCGAATGTGTAAAAAGTGTTGTATCGGTATTTTTCGAAATTCATCGTGAAAGGAATACGCGCCCCTTGTTTCGCGCGTTGAAGTCGATTGTGCAGTGCGGGATACGATATATCATGACACGTAGAATTTGTTTGTCTTTTACGGAGGTGGCAAATTTGCATCGAAATAGAAAATGGAAACATGGATCTTTTATCAACCAAAAGGAAAAAAGAAAAAAAAAGGAAATGGAACAAAAATCTTATTTCATTTATCATTATGTCGATTTACTTTGTACGAAATTGTACGTTGAGTGCATTAATGACGCAGAGATATCTTCGAAATTTAACAATCATCGATGAATATTATTTTCGCAGAGTTTCATTAAATTCAATCTCTGCTCCGCCTGGATATTTTCTTTATCTTCAGAAATGAAAGAGTTTCCCGGGAAATTTCCGGATCTCAAGAGAACCGTGCATAACATGCACGGTGTCAATTTTTTCCCTCTCCGCATGGAAATCTTCTTCGTTTATTTTCCATAGGAAATTTCCTGGAATTACACGATCAAGTCGTATACCTTGAAGCAAGATTACAATATTGTTTGCTAAATTCCCTGAAAATCTTGGTGGATCATCTACACGATCGAAACACTTTAAACAGGTCTTTGCAAGAAGTATCCTGACTGCAACATTATCCTTCTCCCATTTCATGTTGCACGTGAATTTGAACGCCGCATTATCAAGACGAAAATCCGGCACAAAGGGATTTCTCATTTATTTACAAAGAGACTGTTTCACCGTAATGGAAAAACAATGGAAATAAGTAAGAAATATCTTCCTTGGATAAACTCTTGCAACTTGCAGCTTGAAAAATTCGCTCGACGACTATAAATAATGTTTCACCGCGGTACAAATACTTAACGTGCTATTGTCGCGACACGACGCGTTAAATTTTCAGGGCGGTTTGAAGTTTCGAATTCATTTGAAAACGAATGAAATTAGAGTTTCACTTCATAGATAGACAAGATCAACAGAGTGCTAGAATTTTTTCTAGAAGAACGAACTAATGGAACGTTAGAATTTTAGAAGGGAGAATTAAT